CTCTCTCTCTCTCTCTCTCTCTCTCTCTCTCTCTCTCTCTCTCTCTCTCTCTCTCTCTCTCTCTCTCTGTGTGTGTGTCTGTGTGTGTGTGTGTGCGTGTGTGGAACTTTGGTTCAGATGGACTACCGTCTTCACCTGAATAGAACGCCCGGTCATTATAGCTGTATTTGGCACAACTTTCAGTCCAGATGGAGCGATAATGACCGGGCGTTCTATTCGGGTGAAGACGGTAGTGGTTTTAAGGATTGCTGCGACTCTCACACGTCCAACTGCAAAAACAGACAGCAGGTCCTCAAGCAGATGTGTGCCTCAAGGAATACTCGCACCGAATGTGGCCGGAATTGCAGGGAGGAAAATTAAGGTCTACCCACACTTGAACTTCTTGGAGTGGATCTGGCCGAAATTGCCGACAGATACAGCCAGCAAGCTCCTCATGTAAATATATTATGCCCTGAGTCACACTGCTGCTGTGCACACTGCCTGACACCTCTTTTCTTTCCTTTTTAATACTTTCTTTTTTCTTGACATCTTCTTCTCCCGTTGTGCTGTTCTTTGTTTTTCCCCCTTAACTTTTTCTTTCCTAAGGGGGTATCCTTTCCGTAACTAGCAACGAAAAAGGGGGTATCATTACCGTAGTGGCCAATCAATCAACCTACCATTCAATCAACAATTTACCCGTCTCTATCAATCTATCAATCAATCTATCAATCTATCAATCAATCAATCAATCAATCAATCTATCAATCAATCAATCTATCAATTAATCCATCAATCTATCAATCAATCAATCAATCAATCAATCAATCAATCAATCTACCCGTCTAACTATCAATATACCTATCGACCAATCTATCTATAAGACTCTAATCGATCTCTATCAATCTATCTATCAACCTAAGGAAAGAGTTATTAACCTCCCCCGCGACGAAACCTTTGTATTCCTTTCCGGCCAAACGGGGCAAAAAGTGCCGCAGGCCCCAAAATCACCTTTCGTGTCATTTTTGCACCCTGGCTGGGCCCGTAACGCCCGCTGTGCAAAATGGCAGGAAAGTGTTTTACAGGGTGCAAACAAAAAATGGCGGGAAAGTGTTTTACAGGGTGCAAACAAAAATGGCGGGAAAGTGTTTTACAGGGCGCAAACAAAAATGGCGGGAAAGTGTTTTACAGGGTGCAAACAAAAATGGCGGGAAAGTGTTTTACAGGGTGCAAACAAAAATGGCGGGAAAGTGGTTTACAGGGTGCGAACAAAAATGGCGGGAAAGTGTTTTACAGGGAGCAAACACAAATGGCGGGAAAGTGTTTTATAGGGTGCAAACAAAAATGGCGGGAAAGTGGTTTACAGGGTGCAAACAAAAATGACGGGAAAGTGTTTTATAGGGTGCAAAAATGACGCCGAAAGTTATTTTGGAGCCTCCTGCAGTTTTTGCCCCGTTTGCGGGGAAATGAATACGAAGATCCCGTCGACGCTATCTATCAGTCTATCAATCTACTAGCCGATCCGTCGGTACTCAATGAGCTTGATTAAGTGATCGATAGCTGACCGTCGATTACGTGAATGATAGCTCAGCCCTGCGTGGAGGCTGAGGGTTAAAAATCCGATCCGTCGGTACTCGATGAGCTTGATTAAGTGATCGATAGCTGACCGTCGATTACGTGAATGATAGCTCAGCCCTGCGTGCAGGCTGAGGGTTAAAAATCCGATCCGTCGGTACTCGATGAGCTCGATTAAGTGATCGATAGCTGACCGTCGATTACGTGAATGATAGCACAGCCCTGCGTGGAGGCTGAGGGTTAAAAATTGATAAAAATAAATAAATAAATAAATAAATAAATAAATAAATAAAAAATCGATCCATCAACATCTTGCCCAATTATTTGACTAAGTGATAATTATCCCCCCCCTGATCGGCAGCATCCGAGGAGAGCCAATAGGAGAGGGCAGATTTCAACCGTTTGATGATGACAGAAACAGATCACGAGGTCCTTGGTCGTTGATTAGTACCTTCTTCCACCGAATACAACGTTCGGTCGTTATTGCTGTATTTGGGGTATATTTCGGTCTAAATACAGTTATAATAATGACCATATACGTTGTATTCGGGGGAAGAACGGTAGCGCGCGGGAAAGCCACAAGTCATCCCCGCGTTATTATGAGCGGACCCCGTCTAATGAGACCTGCAGCTGAGGGGGTTCGATTAACCCCACCAACCCCAACCCTGCATCAACCACCCCACTCACCTGCACCCCTCTTTCCCCGAATACAACGCACGGTCATCATAGCTATATCTAGACTGAAAGATCCCTCAAATACAGATATAATGACCGTTACATTGTATTCGGGGGAGGAAGGTAGGGTAGGGTTAGATTAACCCCACTTGCTATTTGAATAGGCTGTAGCCGAAGTGGGGACCACCACGGCTGGGTTCCGGGGTTGTTGCTGGTCTGTCACGCCAGAAGTCGCCGGTTCCAATCCCCTTTTTTTTTTTTTCCCGGGAGGTATGGCCGAGGTATGGCGAAGTGGGGACCACCACGGCATTGGCTTGCCCCTCCCTGACGAGGACCAAACCTCTCTGGACCGCAACCGGTGGTCGGGACACGTCGGGACACGTCGGGACACGTCGGGACGAGCTGGACATCGCTCGTGAGCGCTCTTGGCTGAGTACATGGACACGTCGGGACACGTCGGGACACGTCGGGATATTGCTGTCGGGACACGTCGGAACCCGTCGGGACACGTCGGGACACGTCGGGACTCGTCATCATGATATTGCTGTAACGTGTTCGGAAAGCATTCTTTTCTTTTTTCTTTTTTTCTTTTTTTTTTTTTTTCTTTTTTTTTTTTTTTTTTTTTTTTTTTTTTTTTTTTTTTTTTGAAAGTTTATTGTTTAATTTTAAAACGCTCCGATTTGTGCGTGTCATCCGTGCGCAGGGGGCCGCCATGCTACTCTTTCCTTCTCTGTTTATTTTGTTTTTCTCACTATTTAAAAACATAAAATAAAATAAAAATTGAACGCCCTGTTTTTAATTCGTTTGCAAATCTTGGGAGTGGTATATCGCGGCGAGGTCCATTAACTTTTCTCTCGTCTGGGTGCGTTCGCACGCGTCCAGAAAGCGTCCAAATTCATGCAGACTGTTGTGCAGTGGAGCGAGGCCCATACTTTGAATGGAAACATCGCAAATGGCACATTCGTTTTTTTTTCTCTCGTTCCAATTTTAACGGATCTCCGCATACAAATCGAGAAATTGTCCAATTTTTTGCAGGGAAAAAAAAAAAAAAAAAGGGTCCTTCCGGACATCCGCTAAAATTGGAA